ACATATAAACACAAAAAAACATTTTCTCTCTCCTTTATCCTAATCTAACCAACAATTCTTTGTTTTCTCTTCATTTAAATTTGTTATGTTCATAAGACATTTGGGTTCATTGGATTGAAATTAACTTTGTCAAACAAATACCAATCCATCTATGTTGGAATTTAGTTGAAAAAAAAAAAGGAGGAAGAAGAAGAAGAAATATTATTTGCCACAATCCAAGCTTTGCTTGCTACATAACTCATTCTATTATATATATATATATATAGGTTTTGATTTTAGGGTTACTTGGTGAATGTAAAGAAAATATTTCTTAGAGAGAGTTGCAGAAGGAAAGGAAGAGAATTCATCAATTCTTATGTGTTGAAGTTGGGTTATAATAATGGAGTGCTCAAAATCACAAATAGAAAAAGAAGAATGATTGTTGTTGTTGTCATCGTCGTTATATATTTATATATATGTTTTTACGTCTAAATATATATATTTCTTTCTTTTCACTTTATTTTTAGCTAAATTTTTCTCTTTTTTTCTACCTTACAATTTAATCTTATATGACATCGCACATTAAATTTCTTATCACTTGTCACATCTACTAAAAAATTAATCAAAAAATCGTCGGATGAGCCATATTAAAAAAATAGGAAGTAAGGAGATGCAATATATATATATATATATATATATATATATATATATATATATATAAAAGAATTAAGGCGATGTGATAAATTAAAAAGAATAAAATTTTCATATTAAGAAAATATCAAGAGTAAAGAGAAATTATGCAATTGATCTTTAAACGTGCCTATGAGATATTAACAAATCTTGTACTATTAAATGTTAATAAAAAAAACAACTCTTTTGTTAACTCTTTTCGTCATATTGATCAATTTTTATTAGTTGACTAACATCTAACCAATCAAGTGGTGATACATGTCAATTCAAGAGTTAAAATATAATTTTCTTTTAAGATCACCTTTTTTTTTAGTTTTTTAAAGTTAAAATAATTAATAATTATTATAAAATCTTTTAAATTTTTTTTAAAAAAATCTATTTTTTAAATAATCAGAATTGTTTTTCAATTTTTAATGATTTTATAATAATTATTAATATATAAAATTTAAAAAAAAATCTGATTTTTTTCAATTTTTAATGATTTTATAATAATAATTAATAAATAAATTTAAAAAAATCTAAAGAATTTTTTTGATTATTAAATTTTTTTACAATTGTTTTTTCAAATTTTATAATTTTACAATAATTATTAATAAATAAAATTCTTTAAAAAAATCAAAATAATTTTTAATAATTTTATAATAATTATTAATTATTTAATTTAAAAAATAAAAAACATATTTAAAAAAAATTATATTTTTATCCTAAGTCGACACGCTTTGCCACTTGATTAGTTAGATGTTAGTCAACTAACGAAAATTGATCAAGCCGATAGAAAGAATTAAGCGAGAGGTTATTTGTATCAACATGCAATAGTATAAGGTTTGTTCCGAACAATATTTGAGTAGAAGAGTTATAGTGAAATTCTTGGAATAGTATAGGCGTACGAAGTGTATTTAATCCGATTTAACAAAGGTCCAAATTGCACAACAAATAGATTGGATAAAAAATAAGTCTCGTCTAACACAAGACCTTGGATCACATAAAGATAGATGTGAGTATTCGACGGGATGATCGTCCATGCCTTTTTTTTATGCATTAAAGAGATTAATTTTGTAAACTTGGAGTAAGATCTGCTGAAAGAAGACACCATTATTATTATTATTATTAACATTTGCTAGTAAATTGAAGTAGTGTAGCCCAAACGAATCCAATTTCTTCAACTCAAAGTTGAACATACAAATAAGAATGATGTGGTATGAATTTAATGGTAAGTCATCCTTATTTTATTGTAAATATCAATCTCGCATTATTGTGAAGGAATTAAAACTTTTGATTTAGAAAGAAAAAAACTATGATCGTTTTCTCTCTTAAAACTTTCTCATTCACTTACTATATATCATATAAATATCCAATTGTTTCGACTCCGGATCACTCGACCGACCAACCACTCGGCTTGTACTTTACTATTATTATCTACTCCTCCTCCCACACCTTTCCCTACTTGTATTCAATTTATTTAGTTGATTGATCATTATTTTTACAAGTTATAATACATTTTTCTTAACAAAATGTCCCTCAAGATTTCAAATTTTAAATTATTTGTTAAGAAAAAATAATGAAACAAACAAAAACAACTTGAAAACATAAAAAAGGACCACAAACCAAGACAAATGATGATTTTTTAAATAAAATAAAATAAATAAATGAGTTTGGTAGCAAAATAAATATTGTAAGGAAACAAATTGAAAAATGAATAGGATTTGTGGCTAATTGATATGTAGGATAAACTCAATGTTTTTTTTTTTTTTCACTTATGCTTGAAATAATTAGGATTTATGAATTCTCATATTTGATTTCTTTTAACAAATATTTTTATGTTTCTTTATTTGTGATTTTGATATTCATTTATATAACATTTGGTAAATAGAAAAAAAGATGATTGAAAAACAACTCTATTTATATTAATATTTGATGGACACATAAAACATGACACGAGACACGTTTGGTCATGTCTCATGGTCATATTTATTTTTATTCTCTCTTATAAAATAAGATTCATCTTTAATATTTTAGGCCAATTTTATGTAATTTGAAGTGAAGAGTTTATTTTAATAGTTTAAGAGTGCTGGTTTATATGGATTATACATATTATTGTTTTGTTTTGTTTTGTTGGTTTAATAGAAGCTGTACAAGTGAAAATTTTGTAGCAATGAAAAATGATGAAGCTTTATTTGCTTTCTCGGGCTCTACCTCTACCTCTAACCCCATGTAATGGGTTAGCAAAGCCCAATCCATGCCATTGTGCGACATTGACAAACACGTGACCCATTCCAAACTTAAATTTTTAAGGTGACAGCTCAGTCTTAGTGTCCTCAAATCTGTAACTTTCTGTTTTTGAGAAATTCGAATTCGAGATTTCTGTAGATGACATGAATATGAATATTAGTTGGTATAACAAATTCATTATCAGTATTATTTAGTTGCTGAACGAGTAGGAATGGCCCTATGATATGTTGTAGTGTCGCTATTAGCATTATAAGTAGAGAAGGTGACCTTTTTTAATTTTTAAAATTAACAACTTCATACTCATTAAATCTCTTATGTCATATTAGCAATGCAACAGAACCTATTATTGCACTTAAATGGTATCCAACCATATATTTTGATATTGTCTAAAAGAAGAACAGTATGGTATGGACTATGGACAAGACACAAGAGGTAGGTGAAAGAGGCCAACCATATATTTTCAAATTTAATATTATAGCCCTTCTAATCATATGGGCCTTTACTTCAGAACAGGGGAATACGCTTGAGAAATAAGTTTTAAATGCATTTACGTATTTAATGTTGTCTACATTAATTAATAGAAAAATGAAGTACAGCACAGTTCCATCCAATCTCCAGGTTTGCTGCCAAACCAAGAAAATTAATAAATAAAAGTCTAATATTGTAGGGTTGGGTTGGTGGATAAGTTCTACCCATCCATGGACCTTTGGCATCAAGAATTTATAAACCAGGCTGTCATAATCAAATAGTCAAAAGGGGAATTGAAGAAGGTTGCAACAGAGAATAAATAAATCAGTCAAGGGCAAATATATATGTTAAGAATGTCAAATTTATATTCCAATTATTGATTTAATTTTTCAAAAAAAAAAAAAAAAAACTATTGATTTAGTTTATATTTGGCTTTGGTCTTGAAGAAAACTATAAATCAATATAATATATCTTTTAATTATAATTTGTATAGGTTTGAATTCATATTATTAATACTCTTACTACCTTATTATTATTATTATTATTATTATTATTATTATTATTTAGTACCTACTAGTGTGGCATTAAGTAGAAGGGAGATGAATTGAAGAGGTTTAGACTTTATTATTATTCATATTAAAGTTTTTATTTAACCTTCTTTAGATCTCTTCAAAACATATAATTTTTAAATTTGTTCAATATTTTACGTTTCATTTTGTTATCATTTTTTTACATACTTAACATTTCAAAAATTAAACACATTTTATTAATTCAAAGCCAACCTGAAAAAAAAAATCTTAAAACAATTAATAAAAAAAGAATTACAAGATGAGCAAAGATAGAGTAACAATATTGAACAAACACAGGTAAATAATCATAAATTAATTACAATTATTTAAATTATTTTCATAAACACTTTTTAACCAAGGAGAAATCAATTAAAAAAATAAAAACCTCGGAATCATAAATAAGAATTCTTTGATTAATCAACACTTTAAAAAAAAAAATTCATCGTAACTGACCAAATAAATACCTCTAGCCGAAAGGTAAATTAGTTGGAAAAAAAAAAGAAAAGAAAAAAAAGAAATGTTTCTAAATTAAAGTACAAGTGAAGTGAGAGAATCTTGACAAAGTCCACCCCAAAAACAGTAAAACATCTCAGTGGAGGGAAGGAGCCATCCATCACCATCAAGCATCAACGGTAAAAGTTGAAAAACAGAGGTTATATTAGTAATTTCAGGTATAAAATTGTCGGACAGCGTTGTCCAAATTTCAACCCTGATAAAATTTCTGTCCCTTCACGTCAACATTAGTTCGGTTTCTCTAAATCGCCCTCGAACATTCCCTGTATTTACCTCTGCCACCATAACGTCAGACCTTTTTTCTCTTTCAGACAAATTTCTCACACTGCAGTCGGTATCCAAAGCAAGTCTCTCTCTCCTTTCCTCTCTGATGGGTTCTCCTGCTGCAACTTTTGTTCTTTTCATGGAGAGCAAACACTTTATACATTGATGAGTTTTTAGCAAATTATCTTTCTTTCTTTTACAGACTTTCTTTCTGTTGCTTTTTTTTTTTTTTTTTTTGTCTCTTTTGGTCTCATTTTTTAGACCATTAAAGATCAGTTTTTGTTAAGAATGAAGTCTTCAACTCGGATTGACTCGGCCCTTTTTCAACTCACTCCAACTAGAACCAGGTAATTTACTCTCTTCCATTACTTTATTTTCTGTGCATGTGTAGCTAGCTTATTCCAGTATTTTTGTAACAGTTTTGTGTAGCTTTGAGTTGTTTTTATTTTATGTTTTAATTATTACCTTTTATTTATTTTCAGCAAAAATATAACTCACTCAATGCTTGAGTACAGCATAAACCAGTTTTATTTTTTTGGATTTTATGAGTTGATTTATATGCTCATTGGAAATGAATTGCTTCTTTAAAAGATCTGGTTTCATGAGTAAATGCTAAAGCTAAAGTTGTCTTTCATATTACCATTTAATTGTGAATCACTTTCAAATTTTGAAGCTTTACTACTTAACATTTTAGAGCTTGATTAATTGATTATAGGGTTGTAATTTTTCTGCCGAAAATTAACTTGAATTTTATTGTATTATTTATCAGGTGTGATTTGATTATATGTGTAAATGGGAAGACAGAAAAAATAGCTTCAGGATTGGTACAACCATTCCTTGACCACTTGAAAACTGCTCAAGATCAAGTGGCCAAAGGGGGTTACTCAATTACTCTTGAGCCTGGACGCGATGCAACGTGGTTCACGAAAGGAACAATTGATAGGTTCACATTGTTTTCTAATGCTTCCCCGTTGCCATTTTTTTTATATTATTTATTATTGTTGTAGCGGTGGTATTGATCTTTGTCATACAATTTCTTGGTTTTAATAAAGAAAATGCATAACTGTTTGTCGCAACCAATGTTTAAAAGTATGTCATTGCCAAGAGTTACGCTGCGACCATCATCATTTTAACAACCCACCCCCCCCCCACCCCCCCCCAGCAGTAGTTTCTGTCTTCTGCTTCATTATTTGAATGAGAAATGGTTAAGACAAAAATAGCATGATAGAGATGTTTCCTATCTCTGCTATTGCCAAATGACTACTTTGTGAAAGTGCGTTTGAACTTTGCTGATATTGTTCTTTATATTTGATCGTGTAATTGGTTTGATTTCTCAATCACAATTAGATTGGCAGTTTTATGTTGTCAGAGTTAAGCTTTGTGCTTTTCAAGCTTAATTGATGCAAATCTTGGTTTTAAATTGCCTCCAAATTGGTGTTGCAAACTTTTTTTCTGTGGTCTTATAGGTTTGTTCGCTTTGTGAGTACACCAGAGGTCTTGGAACGAGTTTACAATTTAGAATCTGAGATCTTGCAGATCGAGAAGGGAATTGCAATTCAAAGCAACAATGATATAGGGTTGAGCTCGGTAAGTAAAATCTTGAAGTACCTTATGATGCAAAGTCAGAGCTTATAATTCAAATGTAGTTGTCCTTTTTTATTCACAGGTGGAAGATAATCAAGCAAAATCTGTAGAGTGCATCGAAGGTACTGTTGCATAATCATTGTGGCATGCTGTTCCTCTTTGTATTAAAAACTGTACTATGTTTCATGATTTACTTTCTCAATTGTGGTCAGGAAATTTTTCTCTTCTTCTTGTTTTCTTATATCCTTTCTGGTGGGTGGAAGGAGAGGGGATAGTTTTTTTTTCCTGGATATTTACCTAGTAGTTTTTTGTTCTCCTTTTTAGTTTATTCTTGATGTTAAGTAGTTCTGTAATGCCAGCAAAGGTTTTCAATATGATTTTCATGTTTGATCAAGTTTTTTATCCTTAAAATTAAATGATTAAAAATATAATTGTCTGGTGGTGGTGCTATGTTTTTGGTGGTTTTGGATTATTTTGGATGATTTTTGACAGGTGGCAGGCCTCTGACAGATTCTAGTGAGGAAAAAGCCATCGTCCTTTACAAGGTAATTGGCCACTAAATAGTCGTCATCAGATAATGAAGCTTTGTTATTTTCTTTTCTTTTTTCAGTTGTGTCTCATTGCTTTCTGGCAGCCTGGCTCACATCAACCTGAAGCAAATGGTTCGACTGTGAAGGAAGGAAATTCCAAGTATGTATCATAGAAACACGAGTAACTGGATGGTGAAAAAAGAAATTCACAAACCTCATTGCTGTCATGAGTAACAAATAACAAGATTATTATGAAAAAGAAGTCAAGAATTCTGTTTAATTGTTTAAATTTTACTTCAAAATTCACAGTCCACAGTGTGACTTTTCATTTCAATTTCCCAAAAGTTCAGGGGGCAAAATTGCACTTATACATATTACCAAATCCATTCATCTTTGTCTTCTACCCAAAATAAACTCCTACATAAAGGATATTAGATGTTGTGTCATGGTTTTCAAGACACTCACCAAGAGTCAAATCAGATTGCAGGGTCAATTTCTTGCTCTGCATAACCTCTATATTGACTTGATTTTCTGTCATGGACCATGCAGATTCACAGAATACCAAAAAGTTTGTTGTTAAGGTGTTTGTTGCACACATTCTTGAAATTGTAATAATTGTCAAATTAGAAATGTATAGTTGATGATGAGTGGGTTGACAAATATCATGTCAAAATTTGATAGTTTGATGACTGCTAGCATCTCTACTAGTTTAATCCATCGGTTGTATAGATTCAACAGCTCAAGCAAGAATACTAATTGAATACTGCATTTGGTTTTTTTTATATTAGGGTTCAGCTTATGAAAGCTCTGGAGACACGTAAAACTTCGCTGCAGAAAGAGCAGGGCATGGCCTTTGCACGTGCTGTAGCTGCTGGTTTTGACATTGATCACATGGCTCAAGTAATGTCATTTGCTGAAAGTTTTGGTGCCTTACGCTTGATGTAAGTAACTCTTTTTATACATATCATTCTCTATGTTTTGTTTTCATATTGGCCGCCAATTGGTCTGTGGTATGGCTATATTTTCCTAGAGGATAATCTCTATTGTGGTTTCATTCGCCAATGTCAACAGGGATGCTTGTGTAAGATTTATGGAATTATGGAAAAGAAAGCATGAAACTGGCCAGTGGGTTGAAATTGAAGCAGCTGAAGCAATGTCTAGCAGGTCAGATTTTTCTGCTATGAATGCGTCAGGCATTGTTCTTTCTAATACAATCAACAAGCAGTGGTCGGAAACTCCTGATAGTAACAGGAAAGCAGGTGTTGGGCCAAATGCAGGTATGAACTTAAAATGTAAGAAGGTCCCTAAAAATGAAGAGTTACTCCATTATCATTGCCACGTAATTGCATGTCTCACTATCTGATGGAAATTAAATGTCATGGGTGTTGGAAAGGAATACAAGTAATATTGATCTAAGGAACCCACTCACAGAGTGGAAAAACTAAAGATAAGACCTCAACCTTCCTATCACCTAAAACAAGCAACTGACCATAATCTGCTGTCCCGGCTAACTTCAAGGGTTCATGGATTTGCTTGATGATGCATTGTCTAAGATTGGAAGAATTCTACTCCTTAGCAATGTCTCCTTGAAATTTCAGAACAAGTATAGGTCTGTGCAAAGACAATACCTTCATTTGACGTCATAACTTTTACTTAGATTCCTAAACATACAAAAAAATTAGGTTCTGTTTATTTCTCGAAATCACTAGTGGCTCAGTGTGCTTCATACTGAACTCATTGTATGCTAGAAGTGCAATGTCATTGTTCTTTTGTTCTTGTGTATCCTTTTTTTCTTTTTTAACAGAAATGCTTCCTTTGTATAAGAATGAAGGTGTGGCTATCGGGGTCAACATCTATTAGGGTGTTCCAATAGCGGTTAGCAACAAGTTGAACAAAAAGACAGGTCCTATGGGTGAAATTTTTTATATAAGCATGCATGTCTAAGAATCGTTGAACTTGGAATGTCCTAGCTGTAATTATTTGTGGCATCGTATTTCATTTATGCCTTTGTTTTCTTCAAAAATTCAATTGAGAACGATTTTCAACTAATCTGCTAGATGAGAGGCCTCCAATGGATCAACAACCATCACCAGGCCAACAGGAATATTTTCAAGGCCAGTTTCCACATCCTATGTTCCCTCCTTGGCCCATTCATTCTCCACCTGGAGCAGTGCCTGTCTTTCCAGGGTATCCCATGCAAGGCATTCCTTACTACCAGAATTATCCAGGAAATAGCCCAGTTTTTCAGCCACAATATCCATCAGGGGAGGATCCTAGACTGAATGCTGGTCAAAGAATGAGGCAAAGAAGGCATTCAATGGATAGCAATACCGAACCTGAAGCTTGGGAAGTGGATGAGGCAGAATTGGAGAAGGAAACTTTGGGAGGTCGAGAACCAGAGAAGAAGGGAAGTCGTTCAGGTAAAAAACAATCAGGCATGGTTGTTATTCGGAACATCAACTACATCACTTCAAAGAGGAAGGAGTCATCTGGTAGTGAATCTCAATCAGCTTCTGGTTCTGAAAATGACGAGGAAGATGAAATTTTATCAGACACAACTATGAATGCAAATCATACGAACTCTCTAAGATCTTCAAAAAGGAAGGGAAGCCATACAAAATCTATGGATAAACTGAATTCATCAGATATGTCTGGAACATCTTATGGGAAGGTGGATGATGGTGGACACTGGAAAGCATTTCAAAATTATTTGCTAAAAGATGCTGATGAAGCTGAACGTGCTGGTGACCAAGGTATGTTTGCAATGGAAAAGAATGTTCGAGCAAAAAGGCGACAAAATACAATGGGTGATGATCCTTTAGTTTTTGATGGACGAGATCCAGGTGATAATCAAGAAAGAGATGTGACAGATATGCAGAAAATTAGTGGAAACTTGACCCACGTGACTAAGACATCAAAAGAGGAATTGTTGCTATCCAGAAATATGGGTCAGCCTAATGATGGTAGAAGGTTTGCAAACGGTCAAATGGATCCACAGTCTGCAGAAATAGATGGTAGGAGAGGTCAATATAGGATGAGTGCAAATGATGATTTTATAATTCATGGACGAGAAAACAAATCAGGTTATAGAAGTTCATTATCAGATCCACTAGCCGATAATGGGTTTGAGACTGCAAAAATTGATCTGGACAGGAGGGCATCCAACAATATGGATGATGATTCATATATAGTTTCGCTGAGGTCAATGTCACTAGATCAAGTTGGAACTGAGGGTAGAAACACTATAGATGCAGACTCTGAGTTCCAATCAACAGTTCAGAGGACAGAGAACTTATCTAACAGGAGCCAAGTCAAATATGAACCAGATGATTTAAGTATGATGCCTGAACGTGGGACAGAAAAGGGGTCAATTAGTTATGATCCTGCCTTAGATTATGACATGCAGGCTTCGCTGCATAAGAAAAATAAGGAGGTAGTAGCTGGGCAAGGATCTAAGAAGTCAGACAAGGACCAGAAGTCAAAAGTCATTACAGATACTTCAGCTAGGAAGAAGACAATAGGACCAATAAGGAAAGGGAAGCCTTCGAAGTTGAGTCCTTTGGATGAAGCAAAAGCACGTGCCGAGAGGCTAAGAACATTTAAAGCTGATCTTCAGAAAATGAAGAAAGAGAAGGTATATTTCCTTGTCCTTTTAATGTGCACTCATCTCCACATTGAGAGTCGGAACACTTTCAGCAAAGTGGAGTGTTGACCTTGGCTCCAACAAGTGTACTTTGTATTACCATATGCATGGTTTAACTTGTATCATCTCATGGGGGATGATTTATCTCTTTTACAAGCTAGCTTCATTACGAGTTATCCTCAAATTTGGAATTCTTTTCTTTTTCAGGAAGAAGAAGCGACTAAACGACTGGAAGCTTTGAAGTTAGAGAGACAAAAGAGAATTGCTGCTAGAGGCAGTTCCACTGCTGCTCATTCAGCATCACAGCAAACCAGAAAACAATTGCCAACAAAACTTTCCCCAAGCTCTCATAGAGGATCAAAATTCAGTGATTCAGAGCCTGGATCCTCATCACCTCTACAAAGGTTCTCCATGAAAACCGTTTCTGCAGGATCGGGTAATTCTCAGAAAGTCTCTAGGTCCAGCAAATTGAGCACTGCAACTAGCACTGCTGGAAATAGGTTAACTCGGTCGGTATCATCATTGTCTGAACCAAAGAAAGAGAATAGTGGTGTTACACCTGATTCAAAGGCATCCATAGCCAGGATTAGAAGATTGTCGGAGCCAAAAATACGTAGCAGCGATCATACTTCTTCAATTAAACCACGAAACACTGGAGCAGTATCAAAGCCGAAATTATCTAGTGGTGCTGAGAGCAAGAAAATATCTGCACTCATGAACCATGATAAAAGCAAGGCGGCATCTCTTCCAGAACTGAAAACTAGAATCACTAAAGGGCATAATATTGTTGCTGGCAATTCTGCAGCAAAAGAAATTCCACAGAAGATGAACGAAAGTAAGTCTATTTCAACTTCTGAAAGCACTGAACTGAAACAGAATGGCAACAAAATTTCACATCATAGTGATGGGGATGACAACCCAATAATTGAGAAAACTGTTGTGCTCGAGTGTGAGAAGCCCTCCATTCCCTCTGTACACACATCAGAACAGAATATAGAAGTACAAGATGGACACCCTAACAACTATAAAGTAGGGGAGAAAACAGAGGCTTTGGTGGATTATGCTGCTATTCGAGCACCAGTTTCACCAATTACCATGGATGAGATTGATAAAAAACACACTGAGCACCAATTACCAAAGCACCCTGGGGTTCATGAGGTAAGTGAGTGAGAAACTAGAAATGGTTATGGCCGCTATTACCGTAGTTTGTGTGTACTGTTACAGGTGTGTTACACCTAAAAGAATTGGCATGTTCATTTCATCTTGCAGTTTTAAGGCTTAGATTATGTAGGCAGTGGTTTTGACATGAACATAGTGGCATAAAATTGGAAGTATTTCCATTTTTTTTGGCAGTGTTGGAAATATGTTTCATGATTTGATGTTTGTTACGTGACATCTTCTGCTCTCAGGCTGCATCTGAACATGCAAGTTGTGCAGAGAAAGAATTACCAAAGCTTTCAAGAACTCATAATGCTGAGAAGCCCTACCACGCCCCTTATGCCCGGGTCTCTTCTATGGAAGATCCGTGTACTGAAAATTCTGAATATGGCAAAGCACCTCCAACAAGCTTACAGACACATTCAACAGGCACAGAGGCCATTAAAGCTCATGCATCTGATTTAAGAAGCTCGAAACTGGAACAGATCCCTGAAGCATTGGAGAAGCCTCTGACAAAGGAATCATCGAAAGGGTTTAGACGATTGCTGAAGTTTGGAAGAAAGAGTCATGCAAGCGAACGTAATGTAGAATCAGATAATGTCAGTTTGAATGGTTCCGAGGCAGATGATAATGCTGCTTCTTCCAGTGAAGGTAAAAGCACTATACTTTTCCCCCTGCTTTTAGTGAATAGTCAAATTTGAAGTTCCTTTGACTGCTTGGTATTTCCCCTGAATATGACAATCCAGGAAACATTTGAATTTCAGTAAACAAATGGCCTAGAATATCAAAATGCTTATGGCCAAGTCTAGTTGGAAAGAAACATATTTCATTCTTTTTCTAGATAAAATATCATCGCCTGTGCATGTAACATCTGTACTTTATTGAGTTTAATCTTTTGCTCGGCAAAGTAATTATCTTGAAGAAATACATTGCAAACAGAGTAGTAGGTGACCCTGATTCTTTTTCTAAATAGTCAGCGCGGTTTTGGACCAGAAATATTACAACAATAACACAAGTTTTGAATACCCTCTAATTTTACCATCTGAGGCTGTCTCTTGCCAGTAAAATTTATAAATCATTCAGATTGCGCGTCACGGGCTGTGTTAATTGATTAACTATACAATGATGATGGTTAGAACTAACTAGTCCAAGGATGAGTTTTATGCCGCTAAATTAAGCGACAGACTTGATCATGATTAATCATATGTACTTTCCACTAGCTGACTGTCAATTTTTGGTTGTTGCACTAGTTCATACATTGAAGAATCTAATCTCTCGAGATGAAACCCCTGCTGCAGGTCCCAATCAAAAGAGTAAGTTCTCTCCTATGTCTGCATCAAACTCATCACAGTTAACACTCTTGTTCATAGATTTAGTTGTCACTAAGATTGAAAAACTTGGCTGCAGCTTCTCGCCATTTCTCATTGTTATCACCCTTCCGAAGCAAGTCAGGTGAAAAGAAGTTGACTACTTGATAGCTGATATGTGGATTGTACCAAAGTGGGAAGTTGGTCTTGTTTTGCACCATTTTGGTTGTGCTTTGTTGACTTCATGTCATTTAATTTGAAAGGAAGGTATGTTAATTACATTATGTATATCGTTCAATGTACATTCACGTTCAATTTCCTAAGTTCTTTTGATGAACTAGGTTGTTGACTTGTTGATCCCTCTCTAATTGATTAAAGTACCATAGGGTCCATAGATCGATAGAAGTCCTTTCCCATTGCTTACTTACAATAGGATATCTAGGATTCTTCTCAAATTTAAGGGAGGCCGCAACATACAGCTAAATTATTAACCTAAATCTGAAGTTTTGGGAGGAAATGGTCCATTTTGGATTTTGTATACTTGTCCCAATTAAGAAGTGGACCAAGAAGCAATGGGGGAATATGTATCCAATCACTTGTGGCTGTGGGCGCTAGCACCCAAATCTGCACACTCTTGGCATCTGGTTACTTTTGTACGCAACGTTAAAAATTTCCTTGACTGAATGAAAGTGGAAATTTGATGTTTGTGCCACCTTTTAGCCGAACTACAAATACGTCGGAGTTTCGATTTGTTAGTGAAATTAGAAGTCACAAGCCAGTCTTATAACATGCTTTAGGTGCCTATGCCAAGCCAGAGTGCAAAATGATAAGGTTGCCTACTGTTTTATCATACAAAGCTGAAACAGTAATTTTCTGTGACTGAAAAGAATTTATATTCCTGTTGCTTCCAATGGTTCTCACTGCAAACATGGCTGCGGGATCAAGACTCTGGAGAAAACAAACATGTATTAATCAAAGCGAATAACAATGCATGAAATGTTGCTTTTGCACATTCTAGTCAAAGCCTCCTTTGCCAGACACTCGGCAGCTTCTTGGGGATCCTCCAAGTGTCCGATGAGATTCACTGCTTCTTGATTCTTCATAGCCTGGATAAATATCAGAGAAGTTGAGTGAATCTCTTGGAAGTATACGAGAGATATTAGGACAGATGGAGCGTATGTTATGGTAATTAGATGGATCTTACCTCCCATATTCCAGTGCTTGCTATGATGACAAACTCAGTATCAGAGTTGATCCTTTCAGCACAAACGACAAGCTCAGAGCCTTTGGAGTGCTTAGTGCCTGCTGCATGGCTGAATCTCCATGATAACATTCGTCCTAGATGCACAAAATAGCACCGTTAGATTGCTTTTGTATTGCTTGTAGACTCCCGTGCCGTTTAGTTTTCGGTTCTCTCTTTTGTAACTTCCGGCAAAACAATGTAGAGTGAGCAGGTTATTTAAATTTTCCGTTACACCACTTCAGCAACTGAACATCATTGATTCTAACATGCTTGTACATTTTTAAGAAAAAAAATTCCTGAAACATCGGAATTTAATAGCATATACATCAGCTCCAGTTGTAAAAAGACTGGAGTAGAGAGTGCTCCATACCGGAAAAGAGCCTGCGAGACCAATGCCTTTTGGCTGTTTGCCGGTGCCTGCTTTTCATCTGATGAGCCACCCCATCTCTGCACACTACAACTCTAAAGTCACCCATGTTGGCTGTCACAAGTTTCTCTCTATTGATCACCATAACAGACGCTGAACCTGCTTTCCATGTCTCATCCGACTTCTGTGTCTCCCTGACCTTTGCTCTTGCAGCAAGATAGGCTTTCCTCATCATCTCCTTACTCTTTCTTCTTATCTGAGACTGCAATCCACCTTGTAATGTCACGTAGCTATGGATGCAGACTTAACAGTGAAACAAGTAGATCTTTTAAGATTACAATTATATGCATAATGACTCTGCTTGCAGGTTTGTTGGTTGTCTTTGTTCTTTGACGAAATTGTGAAGGATAAGTTTCCATGCTTTTTCCCTTGTACGCTATTGCACAGGAAAATGACCAGCATCTTTTCATTTGGGCATAATTTTTTCTTGAATTATGATTTATGAACACGTAGGAAAGCATGAGAAAGAGGAAGCATTTGATGAAATCTTGATTACCTCGTTGGGATACCTGTCAAACAGGTGGGATTGCAAATACTTTGTGACTCCTTGTCCAATTTGTGCATCGGAAATTCCGAAAAGCCACAACTCCAGCTCCTCTATTTGCTCTCTTTGAACCACAACAGAGTCAAAGTCTGACTCATCTGCACCACCTTTAAATGACTGATCCTCCACGACATGATATCCATGAGATATTGGCATCATCCATGAAGCCTTCTTTGCCATATTAGCCGTTCTTTTCCTGTCCCCATTTCCAATGAGAAACCGTTTTAGCCGAAACGCCTGACAAATTTAAACAAGCGCATTAATGAAATGACACAGTTTGACTTTCAGTGGCAAACTTTCAACACCTCAAGCCTATCGATACCAAAAGATTGCTTTTGAACTTTGCACTATGCTTTGACAAAGTTTCAAAATCTTGGAAATACATAAATCATTGTTACAAGCAAATATTTATGGAATTTGGTGCTAGCAGTTGTTGAATCTTTTTCATCGTTTGATACTGTTATCTTGCGGAATTGTAACCATAAACATGGCAAAAAAATCGACAACTCAATCTTATTTTGATTGTTCAAGATGTCGAGATAAGAAGATTACCCTGCCTTGCTGAATATGATCCTCATAAAGTGAAAAAGAAACCAAAACGGAAATCATACATAGCACGTGGAACGTATAGAAACGACAAAGCAGTCAAGAATTCCAGTACCCTTGTTCATTTCTCACAACCTTTTTTGAATGTCAAGAACTGCCGAAAGGATAAAAACCGAGACTTGGAGGCATACCTTGAGCTTTAGATGAAGATCGTTGAGTCCCATGTTTCTCCCTGAACTTTAATGATAGCTGGAGACCCTTTAAGAATATTCACTCTTGAATATGTAGTTTTTGAAGGGCAAGATATGGTAGAAGCAAATCAGAAGGGAATGGTTATTGGGAATGGCAAGAAAGAGGGAAGAAAGGTGGGAGTCTTACTTTGGCAGAGGAAAGACTTTTGGTGCTTGCTTTGGAAGTGCATAAAAAAGAAAAGTTTGAAGTCAATCAAAGTCTAAAGGTTTAAATCACTTTTACCAAGACCTGCTATTTTTAGGTCATTGTATTAATGGGAAATTGATGGGCTTTGATTTTATCGGTTGAAGAAAATTAAGCCTTATAACAGTCGGTTTCTACTTTCTGCCAGTTTCGTTAAATGCCAAGTTAAACGCATAATAATACTCACCTGACCCAAGTCTCTCTTTCTTGTTCTGTTCACTTGTTATCAGTTTGTTTCGGTAGATAACACTAAAAATTCTCTCCACTTCAAACTTCAAATAGACGCAACTTATCTTTGTTGTGCCACCCATTCAAGGTGGATGGGCAACTCTTTTTTCAGATCAACGGTGAGAGGCAGGCAGGTAAAATGCAGGGATGAATCAAGATAATTACATCTATATCGGGAATCAACCACTTTGATAGCTCTCTTGCTTACCATTTATTGGTAATATTATTGAGCATATATGTTTTTTTCATGACTCCTCTTTAAGGCTTTTTTGGTGAGCTGTAGAAATTGGGCCACAGCCACCTTTGTTGTTCCAGTCATAATTTCGGTTTCTTCACTAACTAGGAGGCTAGGCGATTGGCTTCATCATCATTAAATTACATTAAATTTGACACATTGATTCATGCCTCTCGTGCGCTTTTCTATTCTGTTGGCCCAGAACAAAGGTCATCCGTGCTTATGCTTGCCACCAATCGGCATGCAACACCCCTTCTTTAAACTTTTGGTAAAATCAAATTTTACTGAATATTTGACAACAAATATTGTTTCTTTCTATCCTATATATATAAAATCCCATTAACTTTTGGTAAAATCAATTTTTAATGTATTTTTGTGAATTAGACTAAATAAAAAAAAATTGTTAAGAGATCAACTATAAGACTTTAGACCATGATCTCGTATTAAATAAATATTCTTTTTATCGCTTAGAGCCAAATCCTTAGAATCGTCATCAATCACGACCTTTCATATTTGGGGGGGTGAAAGAAAAGTCAAAGGGGCAGATCGGAATTTTGCCTTCTTTAACCCCTGCTTAGGCTCTCAAGTTGAAATCAGTTCGAAAGGCCCTCCCTAATTAAAACGTTCATGGGGGCAAGTTTACTTTCGTATTTGTCCTAGAAACCTAAGGCCTGGCCCAAAATCATTCACACAAATAAAGTAAACAATAGGCAAAGCCCAGCCTCAACTTTTGGTATTTCATTACCAAAAGTACTTAAAAAAAAAAATGAAAATAACAAGCTTGTGACTGAAAAACCCACCTTAAGCCCTCAGGGGTCTTCCTCACTTCTTCTTTAATCACACAGGGTGGCGGAAATGGCTCTCTCTCGTTTCATACTTGCAAAACCAGTTTTGCATTTCCACACAAGAGGTAAAACCCACTTCCATTATCATATTTTCTCTCTACGATTATATTCTTCTTTTCCCAAAAAATGAAGAGTTTTTTTTTTTGGGTTTTTGAGAACTAGTTTTTTTTTTTTTTTTTCCTTCTTTCTATTGAATAGTTTTTGCAGGAATCCCAAAATCAACAAGATGGGTCTCTTCTTCTTCTTCCTCTTCTTCAAATGGAGGGACCCAAAAGTTTTCACATGTGAAAGGAGTGGAGGGCGAAAAGGAGAATGAGTGAGTTTTTTCTTCATTTCTTTGAATGCTCATTTATATTAATTTTTCTTTGGACATCGACTATAAATGGCCAAATTTTCGATTTAATGGTTAGTTTCATCGGAACCAACAATGGATGCATTTGCTTTCTTGTATTGTAATTGAGGTTTTTAGTAGTTGTGGGTTTTAATTATTTTTGAGGTTGTAATTGCTAGTTGCTAGCATTGTTCACACTCTCATTTCTGTTCAACTAACCTAAAAGATTGAGTTCAATGGTGATTCTTGCTGCATGCTTTATTGGGGCATTATAATTTCAGCACTAACCTGTAGGGTATTGAGTTCCCCAGCCCTCTCATTTTCTGGATTTAGTTTCTAATTTTGGGTTGTGAATGGTTTAACCATTAACAGTGCAAGCTGGGTTCAACTGATCAAAGGGACAATTTCATGACAATTATATCCAGAAATGTTGTTTGAAACTTTAATAAAAATGTGGAGGACACAGTTGTATCCTACTGGAATTTGTATTATAAACAAGGTGACGAATTCATTGATGTATAATTGTGCCTCTTGTGAGAAGATTTTGGGTTACGAATTGAATAATTTATTCGCTGTCAGCTTTATAGTTGTATGTCTATATGCAAACAATCCTAAACTGCATGCTCTTGGAATGTTTGGTTGACTTAACCAATAATGAGAAAGACTATTAATAGAGTAGTCCAAAAACTAATGGATGCAAAGTGAAAATGGTTCATCTTGTTTTCTATTCACTCTTGGACAAAATTCAACATGTAAGGAAATATATTCCTTTTCCTATTTCCTCCCATGATGCTTCCTCATCTCATCTCCCTTTGAAGACCAACCTTGCACTCCTGTCGCTCCTCATTTCCTCATCCTGTTCTCCTTAAAGTTTGAAAAATCTACTACCTCATTTTTTTCTTCAACAAATAAAAAAATTAAAGAGCTAAAAAATATGATTCCATGTTACAGTGTTCTTTGACAAATTCCTTGGGTGGGCAGCTAACGTTTGTTGCATTCGTGGATCATTGTCGGTGACTTTTACATTAATTTTCACTGATGCTCTTATATTTAGTACAATGCATTATTTTCTCTACTAGTTGAATGGTCAATGACCTTCTGCCCTATGTTTCATACTGCTACCATACAGACACCTGGAAATGCATCTGAAGGTCTTGTCAAGAGAGACAGCTGAAATGAAAATGGGTGGGTCATGGTATTCTCTGAAAAGCGTCTTTACTAATCTTAAGGATCGAATGCTCAGAAATCCTGAAAGTTACAAGCAAATTAGTAGTGAGACAACACATTCTACAGAATCATCTGAGGTTATCACAACACAAACTGGTGATAGTAAACATATTGCTGAATCTGGGGGGTCTAATAATGTACTTAAGTCATCAGAAATCCCAACAGACTCCAGCAGTACTGAAGAGAGCATTTCAACTTGTATAACATCTCATTTACAGAGGAGACACCTCTCCGAAGATGCAGTTAATACAACAGCTTCTGTTGTTATGGAGATGCAGGGATCCCCTGATGATATTAAGCATAATGAGCATGATGGTACTGTTCAAGTAGCAAGTTCCATAATTTCAGATAATCCAAAGGAGGTCATGCTTGAAAATGGGAAGAGGCTGCTTCAGGAACTGGCATCTGGAGCAATTGTTGAACCAACTAATAATCAGAATAAGGGGGTTGGCCACCTAATTTATCTTGCAGATCGCTTATTTGAGGATGCTTTCGATACAAGCCAGAACAAAATTGTGAATGAATCGGCTTCAATTAGAAACACAGAGTTTCACCTTGAGAAGAAAACAGCCACACTTGTTGAAAGGGTGAAAATTGATGGCTCTAAATTGAATGAAAGACCTCCATCATCTGATGGACTAGTGGACTTGTTTAAAATGACAGTGAGTAATAAAACAGCAGCAGAAATGGGTAGTGTAAATGGTGATCTTTCTGCAGCAAGTGAATCTTTTAGTAATCATGATGGAACATCACTGAAAAAAGTAGAGAGGTCATTCGATTTCAGTGGCTTAATTGACCACATTAGGATGCTGCCAGGAGTTCCAGCCCAAGACAATGCTATGTGCGCAATTGATAATATCCAATCCCAGGTTGAGTTGCAGAAGTCTGATTCTGAAAGCAGAAATACTGTATTGAAAGGCCGTGCTGTGGGGAAGAATAGTAAGAAGACTGGTGAAATAAAGAAAGGGCAGAGTGTTAAAGCCATGACCAAGGATGAGGGTGGTAATTTGCTTATCGCAGAGAAGGATCACATTAAATTAGAAAAAAATCCACAAGTTCCTCTTCAAACTAGCAAAAAAGGTTCAAATCAAACTGTTTTAACATGTTTTTCAGAAGGACATACAGAAAACAAAGTATTGCTCAGATTCTTGCACAAAGATGTTAGGGACAGTGATATAATTTCTTATTTTAGGAATTTCGGGCCTATATCAAAGATTAAAAAGGTTTCCTCTGTCAAAGGAAGCAATTTCTTTGATGCTATTTTGCATTTTGAGGTCAGTGCCTAATAATTCAGATTTAATTGTAGGTTTCAAGCAGAGACAGATTTAGGAGGGGCATGTAGGCTCGTTAAATTGTGATAATTCCCTAAGCCACCATGCACCCCCACCCAACATACACACTCAAAATAAATAAGATTTTACGTTCTGATTATAACTTTGCATTTTTAATTGGTATTTCCTGTGCTCATAATGCTATAATCTGAAAAGTGATATGTCTGTAAAATGATATGGTACAGGTGGCAGAATAGGTTGTTCTTGCTTATCAACATATTGCATATCAAATTATGGTCGTAGAAAATCAACTTTGACTACTGGACAATCTCAATAACAACTCTGGTTTGTTGCAGAGAAGGGAAGGTATGCTGAGAGCTCTGGAGAAAACTGAGTTCATGATCAGGAATTCAAGTGCCTTTGTGTCGGAAACTTCTCTTGAAGACACAACAAATAGAATTTCTATTCCTAACCTGATTGATGATATTGACATTCCAGTTGCACTAGTGAAACACCCCACCCGTACAGTTAAGATAAAGCAGCTGACTCATGATATAAGCTCACATCAGCTGAAGGAAGCTCTCTCCTTCTGTGGGAGTGACATAAATGGCTTCTTCCTGGGAACTTCAGGTTCCAATGCCTATGTGGAGCTTGAGGCGAGTCTTACCTTTTCTGCACATTATTTATGAAGCATCTTCCGAGTTTATATTGATTTAGTGTGTATTGATCTGCAATTGCCTCTTCTAATACCTGTTTTAATCTTTCTTGTGAGATTCATAAGCCTTTTTACTTGTCCAAGTGGGTCAATCTCAAACTCCTGGTACACTGACAACTTTATTTTGCAATAGATGTAAGTTGTAAAAGAATCATTTAGTACCCACTGTTGAGTTGAAGGCCGAAGAAAGTGACCCAGTAGACGACTCTTCTAAAAAACGTCATCCACAAACATATCTATTTCTTCATGCCCAATTGGATACAATATCAAGATCTTTTGCTGGCTGGGCTTCTGCCAGCACAGCCCCATTTTTTAGCTAATACCTAATAGCAAAACAATATTTCATAGTATTTTTATCAGCTGAGTTAGCGAGTGAGACCATTTTGATTCTTGTGGTTTTCTCAGCACATCACACTATAGTGCATGCTTTGTATTGGTTGCCAACATCTTTGATCTTTTTTTCATTCTTCAATCTTTTTATGCTATTTGTTTTGTAGAGTGAAGATGCCAAAGAGAGGGCACTGGCAAAACATCTCATACAGGTATCAGGAAAGCAGCTATCAATCTTCAGAGTCGATGCACCAAGAACAACAGTTGTAAGAATCCTAAATATCAATCCTCAATGTCAGAATAATGTCCTGTCGGTTTGCAAATCGTTTGGGAAACCCATGAGGATGAAGTTCAGAGATGAGAGCATGGTGGATGTGTATTTCAAGATTGACGAATGGCCTAACATGTTGAATATTTTGAATAGGTATGTTCAACAAATCTCTTTTAAGTGTTTTGATATATGACTTCATAATTATGTTTACAATCTGATCGGGCTTATGCTTGTATGCACAGTTTGAATGGATTGGAAGTGGATGGCTGCCGTTGGGTTGCTCAACCTGCTCCTATCTTTCCTCCCATAATTTTGCAAGCCCTCTGGAACCACCCGGATGAAAGAAGACATGTGATTACATTAATGCAATACTTATTGAAAAAACTTGAGCATCCTACAGACACAGCTGAATTAAGCAATCTGGTAGCCAAGTTTTATGGCGATAGCCTTTGAATTGTAGTTGCGATATTTTGATGGTAAGGAAGGTACTTATGTCTTCAACTTTCCAATTTCGAGATAACTTGGCCAATTGTCAAATGATCCCACATGAGATATTTGGCTTCAGCAAGGCTAACAGTCACAAGCAGGATGAAAATTTATGGTTAGTAACAGTTGTTATCTCGTACTATTCTTTTTTTTTTTAATGGAATAATTACACTATAAATACACCAACTTTCAATCATTTTTCAATCAAGTGTATAAACTATATATATATGTTTTTTTAGTATACTAATTTTTTCAAAATTGTCAATCAAATATTTATGTCAATTTTTTCGTTAATTAATGATGTATTTGTTAACCTCATAATACCAAATTATAATTTTATATTTTTTCTTAATTAAGTACATGAACTTTAATTTTTTTTGTAAAAAAAAAAAATGTTAGCCAATTACTTTCATCAATTTCTTTGTTAATTGATAGTGTGTTCGAATACAAAATTTTAATTTTACCTTCGTTTTGTTGAAGGAAACTTTCTACTTAAATTATTTTATTATTTTAAAATTGGACAAATAACTCAAATTAATCTTTTAGTTAGGTTACTCTTATAAAAATAAGATAAAATAACTCGGTTAGATTTAAAAGTAAAAATTGAAAAAAAAAACACAAATGAATCTTTTTGATGAAAAATTTCACGTTTATGTTTCTTTTAACTTTCGTGGCCAAAACCTAATTGATTTTTTTTTTTTTAACGAGTAAGCTTAATTAAGTTTAGTTTGAGATTTTATAATTAAAAAAATCTTTTTTAATTCTTTGTTAAATTTTAAATCGATAGAATAATTTAAGGAGCTTTCCTTACAACAAAAAAGAAAAAATATTTATATAATTGGTTTTTGGATATGTTATCAATTAATAAAAAAATTGATAAAAGTATTTGATTGATAATTTGACAAAAATTGATGTACTTAAAGTGAAAAAAATTAAAATTTATGTACTTTATTAAGAAAAAAGATAAAATTATAATTCGGTATTTTGAACATATCATTCGTTAACGAAAAAAAAAAAGGTATTTAAGATGATAATTAGGTAAAAAATTGAAAGTTAATATTCTTATTGTTATTAAAAAAAAATAGTAATAATAATAGAATTGGAAAGAAAGATGATAGGAAAATAAATGTATTATGAAATAAAATGAATACAAGAGATAACCACTTCAAACATTTCTCTCAATCTCTACAAAACAGATCTACACAAACTAATGAACAATCAAGCTTATTTATAGGCTTTAAGATATTGAAGAGAATTGGAATGAACTATAAACCATTAACAAGTGCATAAATAATTGAATCAATTGCATCACTCATTTGATTTCTCATATTGAATGGTGAATTGAATCACATGAACAAGTAAAAATATGAAATGGTTATGGACATTTATTATTTCATACCACTCCTCCTTCAATGTCTATCGTACAAGGAATACGTCTCATTAAGACCTTATTAAAAAAAATCCCTAGTGAAAAAAAATCACGAGTAAATAAAAAAGAGTACAATATTCTTTTTACATATTAATCTTTATGTTGGGCTCTCTCTGTTAAAAATATCATTTAAGATCTTTAAGACAATGCATTTAAGTTTTGCAAACTATTTTTTCAAAAATTGTGATAGGTAATGCCTTCGTGAATAAGTTTATCGGATTGTCACTTAGATATCTTTTTTCTTTAATTGAAGTATACAAGTAGCATTGTCTTCATATAATATTGATAGAACTTTTTTGCTGGTAGATAAACTCTATGTCTATAAGATACGATGGGTCATTGATCTTAACAAAATGCATTCTCGACTTGCCTCATGAATTTGTATTTTTGCATGATATAAATATATAACATCTATAATTTATTTTATAGAATGTCATGATATAGTTGTATCATCATGTATAAATATGTAACTTGTTTGAGATCGAGTTTTATATGGATTAGATAAATAACCAATATCCGTATAACCAATTAAATCTAACTTTGATTTATTTGAGTAAAATAAATATCATATCAATTTTTCTTCGAAAATAACGTAGGAAATATTTAATTCCATTTCAATGTATCCGCATTGGAGCGTAACTATGTATTACTAATAAATTTACAAAAAAAGTTATATCATGTCAAGTATTATTAACAAGATATATGAATGCATAAATTGTATTAAGATTTGGTACTTCGAGAACAAATAGTTCTTCGTTATCTTCTCGAACTCGAAAATGATCTTTTTGGATAACAAGTAAACGAACTCGCCATTGGGCTAGTCAATGGATGAGCTTTATATAGAATCATTATAGAACTTTTTCTATATAAATTAACTAATAAATAAAAATCTCGATCTCAAGTGCTCAAACCGTAGGTCGAGGTAAAATTTTATTTTTCCCAAGATATTCATATCAAATTCTCATTTTAGATAACTTATGACACTTGAAATCTCTTTATGAGTTTCAATAATATTTAAATCATCAACATTTATAGCAATTATTACAAACCCTTTTTCGAATTTGTTTATAAAAATAAATGAACAAATATTATTATTTTTATAACCTTCTATCAATAAATATTCATTGCGGCAATTATACTACATGCACATAGGTTAATAATAAAGAGTACATATTGAAAAAAAAATTCAATAATTTTTCGTATCATGAAAGACTCGAATAACCCAACCGATCTTGCCACATAATAAAAGTATTTGAATTAGTAAACGTCTAATTTATTATAGCATTTGTTTCAATTATTTAAATGTTTATAATAAAGACCATAAAACAAAATAGTTAAGTTCTCCAATACATATTTTCTACATGATGCAATAATTATAATATATAAGAATTCAATATCTTTCACAATTACTATCTTGATATAATGTCCATTTAGATGAATATTTTTGGAACTCAACAAATTTCTATGAGATTTTAGAGAGAATAATGCATCACTTGTATTAAAATTTTTCATTTCAAATAATAATATATTTCCCTTCTAGAGCTTTTACATTCTATCACTTCAAGTAATAATATATTCACTCTTCTAAAGCATTTAAAATTTGTCTCTTCAAGTAATAATATATTCAATATTCTAGAGCCTTCAAAATTTATCTCTTTATGTAATAGTATAGTCTCTTTTCTAGAGCTTTCTATTGTATTGATATTATCGGATATAATATTAATAAATAATTAATAATTAAATAAACACAAAATAAATAAATAAATTCTTCATAAAAATAAATAAATAATTAATTAATTATATAGAAAATAAAATTTTAACTATTACTATGCAATAGCAATAATGAGAAAATATAAAACATCTTATTTATAAATAGAAAAGCTAAAAAGTTATTAATTTTAATTATCTTCATTTTGATATATAAAATTGATCTCTATATTTTACTTTCTTTTTCAACGAGGCTTGATAAGACTCAATGAGGTGCTTTGACGTACAACCACTTCTATAACATTCACTTTCAAAAGGCCGACTTGATCCATTTTTATTCTTTTATCATTTTTTTTCATAGTTTATCCACTTATAGTAGTGAGGTGTATTATTATGATCATCGCGATTAAAACGATAATTATTTCAACATGTCGATAGTTATGTCTACGTCTTCTTCCATGCCTAAATTTATTACAAGTTGTCACATTCACTTCAAGGAATAGAGTATATCTAGTTGGGTGGTGGGATTCATAATTTTTCATCAATAGCTTGTTATTTTATTTAACCACAAGCAAGCATAAAATCAAATTCAGAATATTTTTAAAACTTTTTTCTCTATATTACTACTATAAAAGCATATTCGAGACATGAAAAATAAAGAATATTTTCTCAGCATCAATTACCCATGATTAATAATTATTACTCGAAATGTCAAGGGTCACAAATTAAGTTTTGTAAGGTTTGATATAATAAAAATTTTATAATCCAAGATAATAATATATTAGTAATATATTAATATTAGGAAACATAATAATAAAATTTAAATTTTTCAAACAACATACATTAAATTATTATATTCTATATATTAAATTATTCAAGTTTTTCAAATGCATAATCCTATCATTAGATTTAAAGTAAAGGATAAATTAGAACATACCTTTTAATGATCTAGATAATTTAGATCTTTTGGTAGAGTACTCGTGTAAAAAAAAAAACAATCTAATGATTGAAACAAATTATTGAATTTTTGATAAATACTTACCTCATGGTCTATTATTTTGATTACTTAGAGTTTCACGCTAATAACGTGTTATAAAAAAAATGATAACAATAATAAAATTGGAAAGAAATATGATAAGAAAATGAATTAACTATGAAATAAAGTAAATAAAAAAGATAACCACTTCAAATATTTCTCTCAATCTCTGCAAAATACATTTACACAAACTAATGCACAATCAAGGATATTGTAAGCTTCAAGATATTGAAAATGAATTAAAAAGGATTGCGAACCATTAAAAGATGTATAAATAATTAAATCAATTATATCATCTTTTTAATTTTTCATATTAAATGATAAATTAAATCAAATGAGTAAAGAATATAAAATGATCATGGACATTCATTATACGTAACACATATAGTATAATTATCTTCTTTTTTCCTATTTATCGACTCCTTCAGTATTTTACCAGAAGCACAAATACAACCAATTCACATGAATGAAGGCACTAAAACTTCATCACATTTTTTACCGAGTTTTAAACAATGACGAAGACACTCAACAAGGTTCAAACTTATCATTGACGGATGTATATAATTTCTTCTTTTCTGTATTCAGTAATAACAGAACTATCATAATCTGAATTACCAAGATCTAATACCAAAATAATGCTTACAAGTATTAGTAGAGCAAGAATCCAATTATCGGAAAAGTTGGTTGGATCACCCCTCAATATTGAATACCACAAGGTCGAATGTTTTTTATCCATGAAAATTAGCCGCATCATGAGCCAACACTAATGATTTGAAGCTGGCCGCGTAAGAATCACTGGCTTATGGGGATTGCATGCTAGATGCGTACGTAGAAGCACATAAATTTCCACTAAAACAAAAAAGGAAACAAGACCACAACATAAAAAATGTAGCACAATAAAATTGACTACAAAATATTAAATATATAGAAAATTTTCTTAAAACTGCTCTTAATCTGGGAGTCGATAGAAAACCAACTGAAAACCATCCCAAACAAACTGGCATCATATTGATAACAAAATTGGAACTTCTAGAACAAATAACTCTTAAGCAGCATTTTCTTTCTTCAACTTCGCAAGCTCCTGCCTGATCAATCCACCCTTCTGCAAGTGCATATAAACAAGTATATTAGATTGCGAAAGAATGTACCAGATTACAAAATCATGCAAAATAAATCTGCAAACATCATAGAGCCATGACAAATGAAATTCTCCAAAAGCCAACTAAGAACTAAATATCAAATAGAAATAGAAATTCAAAATTCAAACTTAGCAAAATAAGTTTGTAGAATTAAATTAGAAAGTAAAGCATTGTGATATTTAAAGAACCAATCATTTATAAAGGCATTATAACCAACCTTGATCTTAGCCAACATCAACTTGAACCGATCAAAGTCATTGAGAGATGCCCTTCTCTTCTGGACAATCAGCCTTCTACCCCAAGAGCTATTCTCCCATTTGTTCTTAACATCTATCATATGGAAACAATAAAACTTAATAAAGGGCAGGTTTTAAAAGCACATATGACACAAATTCAGTAAGAATTTGTCCTTACCAGCCTTCTCCATAGCTTCAATCAAAGCCTTCTTCTTTGGAACCCGGTTGATCTCAATCTTAATATCAGTAAGTGAAAGCCTCTTGAAGTTCATTTGGCTCCTTACCATATCTGGGGCATCAACCAGAGCCTGTAAATACAAGACATACAATTGCAGTCAATGCAAGGTGACCAATTTCAGGCATTCCCCAAAAAGTCACAGTACCAGAAGATCGATATTTGACTAAAAATTTCATGAATTTTGACAAAAACCTAACTTATCCTAAACAAGTTCATGAATACTAAAACACTTAATGTAGACTTCTTCACAATACAAATAACACACATAACAATGATTTCCTCGGACCAACTACATCAATCTTAAACATCCAAGCTCAATAAACATTCAAAACCTTAGGCTTACGAGAAACAAAACAATACGCAGAGACTACATTAACCAAATTTGTCCAATATGGATATGCATCCACAGAAAGTTGATCAACTCTCGTTAGAATTTTTACTAAGCAAAGACATAGTTCACGTTTGAGTAATCTAAAGAAAACAAGCTCTATTTTTTCAATGTGTACTCTTTACTACAAAGTTCGATTTTTAAGCCTTTAAGAAAACATACAACTAAAAGAAGCAGTAAGCATGTGTCAAGAAAATAGACAAGCGAGCAACATACCCGGTTCTGATCGATGACGTCGACGATAACTACCAGCCTGCCGTATTCTTTGCCGTAGTTGACAAGAGCTACCCTCCCGATCTCCACATATCTCTTGAAAGGCTACAAGAACAAATCACAAACAAGAACGAGGAGATGATGTCAGATTAAGAGACATGAGAGCGTTGCAAAGAGAAAGAGAAAAGAAGCTCACCATGTTGGGTTCGTGTGGTGTGTGTAACTGCTATAGCAAAGGGAGAGGCGGAGAGCTAAAGAAGATACAGAAATGACAAGGGGTTAGGGTTTTTTTCTTTTTATATATTTTGTTTTTATAGAAGATTTGGACCGTCGGATTTAGGGTTTGTATTCTTTTTAGGGGAATTGGGTTTATGGATTTGGTCCGAGCTTGTAAAAGTTATTGGGCTTTGTTGAGTTCTGCAGATTCAGACAGGACGCATTCGGCCCCAGAATGCTATGACTTTGGGCTTCTTAGGAGCGTTTTCTGTTTCTCCTCGTTTCCAAGTTATTGCGGATTTGTGATACCCTTTTCGGGTTTTTTTTTCCTTGTTTTCTAAAAATTATTTATCATTTAAGAAATTTTGATAAAAAAAAATTATTGGGTAAAATAATAATAATCAGTACTGGTGGTGTTTTCCGGAGTTTTAAACTTTTACGATTTCTAGGCTTTACCATTTTTATTTTGGTTTTCTTAGGCTATTTTTAGCTTGTTTTAATTTTTCTTTTGAGATAATTAATCCATATGTTTAAATTTTTTATATTCTCTAAGATTTTCATTTTTTTTCATTTAGTTTTTTTGTAATTTTCCATTTTTTTATAAGCTTTTCAAAATCGAATTTTATCTAGAACCTATTTGAAAAAAAAAAAAGTAAAATAAAATATGAAGAAACTTGTGAATGAGATTATTGAGCGAGAAGACCATCTAGATGATATGAAATTATAGGGGTTGATGAACAGAATCACCATCCTTGTCAAAGAAAAAGAAAATTATAAGATTGAAGACGGACACTTATAAAAAAGCGTCAAATAGTGATAGATACAAACGACGAATTGCAACTCGTTGCTAAATAGTGGCGGATTAACGAATGAACTACGTTATTATTGAGATGTGAATTTTAGCTATGGAACAATGATGGATTTTCAGCAACGGACTTAAGTCCATCGCTTAATATGGTGACAAAATATTTGCGGATATTTTAGAAACGGTTTAATAAGGGAATGCAAGGGAAATGAGTGACAAAATCTTAATTTCCTCACTATTTTTCGGTTTAGGCTTAGCAATAGAATTTTTGTCGCTAATTGCATATTTACTTCGCAAATTAACAACTGAAATTCCATCATTAATATTGAAAAAAGAGCGAACTCTTCAAATTAAAAATCAACGATGGACATAAGCGATAGAGATTGCGTTCATTAGTAATCCTAAATCCTTAAATACTAGATCTCTTTTTTTCTATTAGTGTTGGTGCCCAAGATCAACTCTGTTCGGATACTTTGACTTATTTTATCATTGTATTTTTATATTAATAAAAGAAGTCATTCTATTAATTCTTATTATTTACAATTTCATAAAATTAGATAAAAGTCCATATATTATGCATTGCATTAATGATTAGTCAATTGATGTGAGATGAACATTAATGTATTTAAATGATATCATTATATGTCCTAAGTTGTAGCATTATCAAGATTGGACATTGACAACATGAGGTAAGACATATGAGTGTTGTGCGCTTGTTATTAGATAACAATAAAAGATCTCACACCTACCGATATGGTGATGTCAAAGCAAGTACTTAAGTGAATAATGATAGAGAACGTGTATCATTGGACATGACTTGTCATGAGAACTCATTTGGTTTAGTCTATGGGAATCTTATACGAGATATGTACAACTTATCCTTTGACTTGAAGTTATCACGATTGTCTCATAAAAGGATTGGTATACTTTGATATTCGTTTCGATGGGCTCGGTAAAGAGTCTGTATGTGGGAGATTCATTGGATGCATTAAGAATCTAATAGAGATAGGTGAATGACTGAAATAGGACATGTCATTTTTTATATGCTAAAGGAGTTATCACACCGCACTTCGATGAATGTCTACTCAAGGAATATGCGGCCATAGTGGAAGTATACCAATAAAGTATAATTGGATTACTTATGAGCTAAGACATTTGGAGATCAAAAAAAATTATGTGATCATAATCAAATAGACTATAAACCAAGTTTGAGATCACACTCGTGATAAATTGACATGAGGATCGAATTGTATGGAAACTATTCTGTGAAAGGTAATTGTAAATTAATTGATTTCTTTAGAGAATTAGGTAGTCATGATGCCTTGCTAGAGGCTAATCTTAATTTATGTATCATGAGATAAAAGAAGTGTCTTTTATCTTCTTGATACTTGCTAACATATATTGGAGTCTATTAAGTCACATGCATAAAGTTTAAACATTCATACGATAAAAGAGAAGCAAAGGTTATTGAAAAAAGTTTTTTATTTTGGAAAGTCAGTTTTCTATTTTTGAAATCAGTTTTCTAATTTGGAAGTTAGTTTCAAAATTGAAAGACGAGTTACCTAAAAAGAAGATTAGTTTTCTAATTTAAGTTTAAGGGTATTTTAGAAAATTATTTCTAATGTGGGCTTCAATAAAATACTTGACCCAATTTATTTGGATGGTCCAAATTAGTTGGTAATTAATTAGACTAAAAAGAGTTTGGGCCAATAGATTTAATTTAAAAGCCTATAAGATATTTTAATGGAAAGATAAACATGAGCATTATAGGACAAGGCTCGGGATTTACAAGGATGAGGTTAGATAAAGTCCACATAAACAACATCTCCTCGACCTATAAGGATAAGTTGCTGCATCTTATAGATAGAGATAGGAGAGATGAACGAGACAGAATAAAAAAAAATGAAAAAAGAGAAAATGTTTCTCACTAAAAAGAAAAATACTTATCGCATAAAATTAGGGCAAAAGTTGTTGAAAATCCCTCTCTATTTTAGCACAAAAACCCTTAGATTGATTTCTTTAGAAATAAATTTTATACACAAAAGGATTAGAGCTAGCACTCTATAACTTTTTTGCTTCTTTTGTGGATGTGTTGAGCCATGTGGATAATCAATAGAGGCTGGACATTTGAATGGTTTCCTTTTTGCTTAAATTGTTTATACGCTATAAGAGGTAATCACTCTCTTTAATCCGATTCATGTTTATGTATGATTAGTTGATTCAATGGCATGATCTTGGGAACCCTAAATGGAGAAATTTTTTTTATTTTATTCGGTACTTCTATATGATGCATGATCCTTTCAATTGGTATCGAGTCTCTATTGAATCTTTAATTGTATGTTATATTAATTATGATTAATACAAGAATTATTATTTTCTAATTATAAGTCTAAGATTTTTGGTATTTGATAATGTTTTGAAACAAATTTTTGGACTAAAAAAGGTATGGAGGCACGAGGCCAATGTTGGACATTGGCACTCGAGCACACATGCTAATAAGTAGGCCGGACACATATCGGGTGCATACTAGGGCGGGCGTGCCTTGTGCACACCGGTATTCCTAGGCCAAGCATGCACGAGCATGCTACCCCGAGGCCAGTGCAAGCGAGCACACCAATCAGCATACCAAGCTTGCGTAAGCATGCAATGTAATAGGAGCGGACGTGTAAGTAGACATGCCAACACCGGCCATTAATGGCGATTGTTGGCTAGTGTTAGGCATAAGCCCATTAGGACATGATAACTTGTGGGCCTTCTAGGCTAAAAAACACATTGGCCCAAGTGGGCTTAAGGCCTAAAAGTCTAAAAAAATTAAAAATTAAAACTTTTTTAAATATTTTTATAAAATAACCAAATTCATAGATTTATAATTATGATTAAATAAAATGTGTTTCATTTTTTTATATGTCATATATTAATATGATTAAAGCATGGGTAAATGATATGGATGAGTCGACCTAGTTTTTGAGAATGTCCGCTTGTAACTTTTTTGTTAAATAGGACATGCATATCCTACTCGTAACGCCCCGCCCTGATCATATTTCTACTACTCAAGTAGAATACTAGACGAAGCGCGTTACGCCGACATACCCTAAACTCTAAGTAGTTCTCTTATGATATTCTTAAAATTTTAACGAGACATTATGTATATAACTCCTTAAGATAAAATTTACATAATATAATTAAATATATTAATAAAATATTACGAGCAATATTCAATTTCTCACGAACTCCATATCCCAAATTTACGAGGCAAAATAAAAACTAATATATGGTGCCTTACATGAGCCGATTAGGAGGAGCCAGCCGCATCCGTACCAACTTGTCATTTTTCCGTCATGACATAAAAAAAAATAACAACGAGTGAGTCGAAGCTCGGTAAGTAGGGTAATGCACGGATATGCGATCTTGTTTTGACTTTCCACCATACTTATAAATTTTAATCTCGGGTGCCCCGGGTATTAGTCGATCTACTCTATTTATCATCCGGGTGGTTCGCGGATCACTTCGCTACAACGGAATTACCCCTCGTTGTAACTACTATTAGCGGGAATCTATCGTCTAATACCGCAGGCACACAACCTAGAGTATTGGATTACTAATACCCATTTATTTTTAATTCGATTACCAAACTCGTGTCATTTCATGACTCGATGATTTTTCTAAACTTATTCCACCCCCAATGCACGTGATTCACGTGATGACATGTTTACTCACATTCAACTAAACTCGGGTACCAATCCTTCATTCTCATGCCATACTCATGGTCCAACTCACACTTGGAATTTATCCATCGCTCACATACCAATCATGATACCCATAGCGGGAACACAATCTCTGCTTATTAATATTGTTCATTAGTTTCATTACTATTTAACGTAATGTCCAAGTCCATTTATTTTAATTCGAGCCCATTAACTTTATCCTAGGTCCATTGACTCTATTTAATTCCATTTTATTTAGTCTAAGCCCATTTAGTTTATTCCAAACCCATTAATTTTGTCCAAGTCTAATTCTTTGGTTTTAGGGTTTATTATCGGGCAACTCCTAATCGAGTAAATAATTTTTCAATTTTAGAATATAATTAAATCTTATCCATTTTATTTTAGATACTAGACATATTTATTTATAACATATACAAAAATTAGGTCTAAATACCGAGTACACAATTAATTAAA